CTTCGAACGCCCCGCAAGGACCACAGTAAACAAAGTAAAAAAGTGATAAGTGAAGCCGCCGTCGGCAGAGGGACAACCACAAGAAACAACAATGAAGAGGACAACGGGGAACGAGCATGGAGGGAGGAGGAGGGAAGAGGATGGGGAGGGAGATAAGGAGGAGGAGGAGGAAGAGGAGGAGAAGGAGGAGGACGGGGACGAGGAGGAGGAGGACAGGGATGAGAACGAGGAGGAGGAAGACCAGAAGGAGACGAAAAGGGGAAAAGGATAAGCAAAGATGAAGGGAGATGATGGGGAGTGAGAGGAGGGAAGATGAGAAGGCTGTTCGACCGTCAACCTTCGAACGCCCCGCAAGGACCACAGTAAACAGAGTGAAACAAGTGATAGTTGAAGCCGCCGTCGGCAGAGAGAAAACGACAAGAAAACGACACGAAGAAGACAAGAGGGAATGGGCATGGAGGGAGAGGAGGGGAGGGGATGGGGAGGGAGAGAAGGAGGAGGAAGAGGAGGAGGAGGAGGAAGACGAGGAGGAGGACGGGGACGAGGAGGAGGAGGACAGGGATGAGAACGAGGAGGAGGAGGAGGAAAACCAAAGGAGACGAACAGGGGAAAAGGAGAAGAAAGGATGAAAAGAGATGATGGGGAGGATGAGATCGCAGTGAAACGGAGATCCCCAACTGGAAAATCGTTTCGTTTCGTTCGCGTCGCGCGTGCGGGCAAGGCGAAGCTACGTGAACGCGCGAGAGGAATGAACCCGCGATTGCTATGGCGAAGTCCAGATAAATGATTATCCCCCTGCCGCCTGTCCGGCAGTGGCCCGCGGTGTCCCGCGGTGTCCCGTGGTGTCCCGTGGTGCCCCGTGGTGTCCGCCGTTGTTAGGGCGAAAACAAAACAAATGATTCTCCCCCGCCCGCCCGTCCGGCGGTGGCCCGCGGTGTCCCGCGGTGTCCCGCGGTGTCCCGTGGTGTCCCGTGGTGTCCGCCGTTGCTAGGGCAAGGCAAAACAGATGATTCTCCCCCGCCCGCCCGTACGGCGGTGGCTCGTGGTGTCCCGCGGTGTCCCGCGGTGTCCCGCGGTGTCCCGTGGTGTCCCGTGGTGTCCCGTGGTGTCCCGTGGTGTCCCGTGGTGTCACAAAAGTGAGATCGATAGTGAGATCGATAGTGAGATCGACAGGGGTCCCGTGGTGTCCCGTTGAGTGAGATCGATAGTGAGATCGATCGTGAGATCGACAGTGAGACCGATGTGGTGCCCCGAGGTGGCCCGTGGTGTCCCGTTGAGTGAGATCGATAGTGAGATCGATAGTGAGATCGATAGTGAGATCGATGTGGTGTCCCGAAGTGTCCCGTGGTGTCCTATGGTGTCCCGTTGGGTGAGATCGATAGTGAGATCGATAGTGAGACCGATAATGAGATCGACAGGTGTCCCGTGGTGTCCCGTGGTGTCCCGTGGTAGCCGGTGGTGTCCCGTGATGTCCCGTTGAGTGAGATCGATAGTGAGATCGATAGTGAGGTACATCTATGTACACTAGATATAGACCTATACGACCACCCTCGGGGGATAAGGAGGTTGTGGGGAGGGAAGAGGGGGGGGGACCAACATCTGACTCAATCGATCTCACTATCGATCTCACTCAACGGGACACCAAGGAACACCACGGGACACCGCGGGACACCACGGGACACTTGTCGATCTCACTATCGATCTCACTGGCGATCTCACTCAACGGGACACCACGGGACAACACGGGACACCACGGGACACCGCGGGACACCTGTCAATCTCACTATCGGTCTCACTATCGATCTCACTCAGCCATTGGACACCACGGGACACATCGGGACACCGCATCGATCTCACTATCGATCTCACTATCGATCTCGCTCAACGGGACACCAAGGGACACCTCAGGACACCTGTCGATCTCACTATCGATCTCACTATCGATCTCACTCAGCGGGACACCACGGGACACCTCGGGGCACCACATCGATCTCAGTATCGATTTCACTATCGATCTCACTCAACGGGACACCACGGGACACCTGTCGATCTCACTATCGATCTCACTTTTTGGGACACCACGGGACACCACGGGACACCGCGGGGCACCACATCGATCTGACTATCGATCTCAGTGTCGATCTCACGATCGATCTCACTCAACGGGACACCACGGGACACCACGGGACACCGAGGGACGCCGGCGGGACACCGCGGGGCACCGGCCGCCGGAGGAGTTACATTTGGTCCGGCCGCGGCCCAGCCACAGGAGGATTTCGGGACACCGGCGGGACACCGGCGGGACACCGCGGGGCACCAGCCGACGGAGGAGTTACATTTGGTCCGGCCGCGGCCCAGCTTCGCCTCGCCCGCACGCACGCACGGCACGCACGATACGAACCCGAAACCGAAACCGATTTCCCGGTAGGGGGGGGTCTCCGTTTCACGTCGGACTCACCCCCCAACCTCCGATATACATATATATATACACACACACACCTATACGACCACCCTTCGGGTGATAAGGAGGTTCGGGGGGGGGAGGAACCAACGTCTCACTCGATCGGTCGCACTATCGATCTCACTATCGATCTCACGATCGGTCTCGCTCGATCGATCTCACTCGATCGATCTCACAATCGATCTCACTCGATCGATTTCACTCGATCGATCTCACAATCGATCTGACGATCGATCTCACAATCGATCTCACTATCGATCTCACTATCGATCTCACAATCGATCTCACATTCGGTCTCACTACCGATCTCACTATCGATATCACAATGGATCTCACAATCGACGTCATCATCATCATCATCATCATCATCATCATCATCATCATCATCATCATCATCATCATCATCATCATCATCATCATCAACATCATCGTCACCAACGTCATCAACATCGTCATCATCATCGAGACATCATCATCATCATCATCATCATCATCATCATCATCATCATCATCACCTCCTCACCATCATCATCAACGTCATCATCTCCATCATCATCACCATCGGGACACCATCATCGTGCCCATCATCATCAACATCATCATCATCGGGACACCGTCATCATCATCGGAACACCACCATCATCATTATCATATCACCATCATGAACAACATCATCAACATCATCATCATCATCGGGACACCATCATCATCATCATCGTGATCATCAGCAGCATCATCATCATGATAATCATCATCATCGGGAGACCACCATCATCGTAATCATCAACATCATCACCATGATCATCATCATCATCATCATCATCGGGACAACATCATCATCATCATCACAAATACCGGCATCATCATCGTCATCGGGTCACCATCATCAAAATCAGCATCATCACCTCATCATCATCATCATCATCATCATCAGCATCATCATCATTATCAACATCAGCATCATCATAGTGACACCATCATCGTCATCATCAGCATCAACATCATCATCATCATCGGGACACCATCATCATCAGCATCAACAGCATCATCATCAACCTCATCATCATCATCGTCATCATCATCATCATCATCATCATCATCATCATCGTCGGGGCACCATCATCATAATCATCTTCATCATCACCATATCATCATCATCATGTCATCATCACCAACATCATCAGAATCATCAACATCATCATCATCAGCATCATCATCGGGGCACCATCAGAAACAGCATCATCAACATCATCATCATCATCGGGTCACCAACATCATCACCACCATCACCATCACCATCATCAACATCGTGAGCATCATCATCATCATCGGGACACCATCCTCATCACATCACCATCATCATTAACAACAGCATCGACATCATCATCATCATCAGCATCAGCATCATCATCATCATCATCATCATCATCATCATCATCATCATCATCATCATCATCATCATCATCATCATCATCATCATCATCATCATCATCATCATCGGGACACCGACGAGACGCCGGCGGGACACCGGCGGGACACCGCGCGGCACCTGTTGCCGGAAGGGTGACTTTTGGTCCGGCCGCGCCTCAGCCACTGCGGGACACCGGCGGGACACCGCGCGGCATCTGTTGCCGGAAGGGAGACTTTTGGTTCGGCCGCGCCTCAGCCACAGGAGACTTTCTTCTCGCCCGCCCACGCAGCTTCGCCTCGCCCGCACGCACGGCACGCACGAACACGAAACCGAAACCGATTTCCCGGTAGGGGGGCTCTCCGTTCCACTTCGATCTCACCCCCTCACCTCCGATATATATATATAAATAAATATATAGAACATACATATATATATATATACATATATATAGAGAGAGAGAGAGAAAAAAAAAAAAAAAAAGGCCGTCGGCCCATCCCGCCACCGTGCTTGGGTTGTGTGGGAGGAAGAGGAGCAGGAGGGGGAGGGGGGGGGGGGAGGGGGAGGAGGAGGAGGAGGAGGAGAAAAAAGAGGAGGAGAGGAGAGAGAGAGAGAGGAGGAGGAGGAGAAGAGGAGGAGGGGGGAGGAGCAGGAGGGGGATGAGGAGAAGGAGGAGGAGGAGGAGGAAGCATTCCCACCGATCGCCGCGGGCCCGCGGGGGCATCGGCAACGACGACCCGAGCGCACGGCCGGACGGCCGGCGCCGCAGCAGTCCTCGTCCACCTCGTCCTCCTCGTCCTCCTCGTCCTCCTCGTCCTCCTCGTCCTCCTCGTCCTCCTCATCCACCTCGTCCTCCTCGTCCTCCTCGTCCTCCTCCTCCTCGTCCACCTCGTCCTCCTCGTCCTCCTCGTCCTCCTCGTCCTCCTCGTCCTCCTCGTCCTCCTCGTCCTCCTCCTCGTCCTCCTCGTCCTCCTCGTCCTCCTCGTCCTCCTCGCCCTCCTCGTCCTCCTCCTCCTCGTCCTCCTCCTCCTCCTCCTCCTCCTCCTCCTCCTCCTCCTCGTCCTCCTCGTCCTCCTCGTCCTCCTCGTCGTCCTCCTCGTCCACCCCGTCCTAGGCGTCAGAGGCGACCACCGCCTCCGCTTCAGCAGCCCGCCCGAGGTCGCCCCCGCCGGCGCGGCGGCGGCGCCCAGGGGGCCCAGCTCGCGGGGCGCCGCGGCACTGGAGCGCTGGGCGGAAGGCGCCCCCCTCCCTCATCAGCATCATCAGCAGCAGCACCATCATCATCATCATCATCATCATCATCATCATCATCATCATCATCATCATCATCAGCAGCAGCAGCATCATCATCATCAGCATCATCATCAGCAGCATCAGCATCATCATGATCATCATCATCAGCATCAGCACCATCATCATCATCAGCATCATCATCCTCATCATCATCATCATCAGCAGCATCAGCTGCATCATCGTCATTGTCATCGTCATCGTCATCATCGTCGTCGTCATCATCAGCAGCAGCATCAGTATAAACAGCATCAGCATCATCATGCGCATCAGCACCATCATCATCATCATCAGCAGCATCATCATCAACATCAAAGCATCATCAACAGAATCATCAGCAGCATCATCATCATCACCATCATCCTCAGCAGCAGCATCATCATCATCACAATCAGCAGCAGCATCACCATCATCATCAGCATCAGCATCATCAACATAATCAGCGTCAGCATCATCATCATCAGCAACAGCACCATCATCAGTAGCAGCATCAGCAACATGAGCATCAGCATCATCATCATCACCACCATCATCAGCATCATCATCACCAGCAGCATCACCCTCATCATCATCATCATCACCATCATCATCCTCATTGGCATCATCGTTATCATCATCAGCATCAGCATCATCACCATCATCATAGGAAGCATCAGCATCATCATCATCACCAGCATCATCAGCATCACCATCATCATCAGCGTCATCAGCATCATCACCATCATCACCATCAGCATCTGCATCATTATCAGCATCATCATCAGCATCACAATCATAGTCAGCACCATCATCATCATCAGCAGCGCCATCATCATCAGCAGCGGCATCACCATCCGCAGCAGCATCAGCATCATCACCAGCATCAGCATCAGCAGCATCAACAGCATCAGCATCGTAATCATCACCATCGTCAGCATCATCAACATCATCATCACACTCACCATCATTACCAGCATCATCAGCATCAGCATCAGCATCATCACCATCGTCATCAGCATCATCATCAGCAGCAGACTCAGCAGCATCAGCATCCACATCCGCATCAGCATCAACAGCATCATCACCGTTAGCAGCAGCAGCAGCAGCATCAGCATCATCATCACCATCAGCAGCATCATCATCATCATCCTCATGAGCATCGGCATCATCATCAGCAGCAGCAACATCATCATCAGCATCATCACCATCACCATCATCATCATCATCTTCTTCATCCTCAGCATCATCATCATCAGTATCACACTAATCATCATCATCAACATCATCGCCCTCATCATCAGCATCCTTATCAGCAGCAGCATCACCGTCCGCAGCAGCAGCTGCATCATCATCACCATCATCATCTGCAGCATCACCAGCATCATCGTCATCAGCATCCTCATCATCATCAGCAACAGCATCAGCAACAGCATCAGCACCAGCACCGTCGGCATCATCATGTCAGCCAGCGTTGACTCCCAATATATAGGAGGACAAGAGGAGGATGGAAGGAGGACGAAAGGAGGACGGGAGCAGAACGGGAGGAGGACGGGAGGAGCAACATCAAACAAGCGCAAGCAAGCAAGCGGAAGCATCAAGCGCAAGCGAGTTATATCAAGCAAGCACGAGCCAGCGATCAAGTGCAAACAAGCAAGGGCAAGCAAAAGCAAGCAAGCGATAGCAAGCACGCACGAGCAAGCAAGAGCGCGCAAGAGCAAGCAAAGGCAAGCGACACATGGGAATACCTAGGAATGCATAGGACTCGCCATTAGAAATAGCTGGGGGGGCGCCATTGAAAATAAGCGGGGGTGGCATTGGCAAGGGGGGGGGGGGTGCATTAGAAACAAGGGGTGTGTCACTGGACAAGGGGGGGCATAAAGACTAATTACGCATGATGGGCTAGGACTCCGATAGGGCAAGCCTTGTTTGAGAAAATAGGTGGATAAGCGCTCCGAGGTGGTGCATAGGCATAGGCATAGGCATAGGCATATGGGCGCTCAGAGGTGGCGCATCGGCATGTGCATAGGCATTGGCATAGGCATAGGCTTAGGCATAGGAGTTAGGGGGGGCGTAGGCATAGGCATAGGCATAGCCATAGGAATTAGAGGGGGGCATAGGAAGTAGGGGAGGGGCAACAGGCCAATTAGTAGGGCTTGAGTTAGAACTCCTATATGACAAGCCTAGTTGGAGAATCATCATCACCATCATCAGAGTCATCCTCATGATCACCATCATCATCACCATCATCAGCAACATCATCAGCCTCACCATCATCAACAGCACCAGCAACAGCAGCATCAGCATCAGCATCAGCATCACCTTTAGCGTCATCATCAAAACCAGTATCAGCATCAACGTCATCATCCGCAGAATCATCACAATCAGCATCATCATCATCATCATCATCATCATAATCATCATCATCATCATCATCATCTTCAGCAGCATCATCATCATCATCATCATCATCATCATCATCATCATCATCATCATCATCATCATCATCATCATCATCATCGTCGTCGTCATCATCAGCATCATCAGCATCAGCATCAGCATCATCATCATCATCATCAGAATCGTCAGCATCATCATCATCATCATCAGCATCATCATCATCATCATCATCATCATCATCGTCATCATCATCATCGTCGCCAACATCGTCAGCATCAACATCAGCATCACCAGCATCAGCAGCATCATCCACATCCGCAGCAGCAGCATCATCGTCATCACCATCAGCATCAGCTGCCTCACAATCATCATCAGCATCATCACTATCCCCATCATCGTCAGCAGCAGCATCAGCAGCAGCAGCATCAGCATCAGCACCGTCGTCATCATCATATCAGCCAGCGTTGCCTCCCCATAGATAGGAGGACAGGAGGAGGATGGGAGGAGGACGAAAAGAGGACGGGAGCAGGACGGGAGGAGGACGGGAGGAGCCACATCAAGCAAGCGCAGGCAAGCAAGCGGAAGCAATCAAGCGCAAGCGGGCAATAACAAACCAGCAAGAGCCAGCGATCAAGTGCAGGCAAGCAGGAACAAGCAAGAGCAAGCAAGCGATAGCAAGCACGCAAGAGCAAGCACGCAAGAGCAAACAAGGGTAAGCGACTCATAGGAATCCATAAGGAACCCACAGGACCCGCCATTGGAAATAGCTGGGTTGGAGGGGCATTGGACAGAAGGGGGGTGGCATTGGCAAAGGTGGGGGGAGGGGGGGTGGGCATTGGAAGTAAGGAGGGTGGCATTGGAAAACAGGGGGGGGGCCTAACGACTAATTACGTATGATGGGCTAGGACTCCGATGGGGCAAGCCTTTTTTGAGAAAATCGGTGGAGGAGCGCTCCGAGGTGGTGCATAGGCAAAGGCATAGGCATACGCATAGGAGCGTTCAGAGGTGGTGCATAGGCATAGGCATTGGCATCGGCATAGGCGTGGGCATAGGAGTTAGGGGGGAGGCGTAGGCATAGGCATAGGCATAGCCATAGGAATTAGAGGGGGGCATAGGAATTAGGGGGCAACAGACCAAACAGTAGGGTTCGAGTTAGAAATCATATCGGACAAGCGCCTAGTTGGAGAATCAGCATCACCATCATCATCGTCATCCTCATGATCACCATCATCATCGCCATCATCAGCAACATCATCATCATCACCATCATCACCATCATCAACAGCAGCAGCATCAGCAGCATCAGCATCACCATCACCTTTATCATCATCATAGCATCATCATCATCATCAGCGGTATCATCATCAGCAGCATCACGATCATCATCAACATCATCACCAGCATCAGCAGCATCATCAGCAGCATCACCATCCGCAGCAGCAGCATCATCATCACCATCAGCATCAGCGGCATCACCATCATCAACATCAGCAATACCATCATCCGCCTCATCGTCAGCAGCAGCAGCAGCAGCAGTATCAGCCGCAGCAGCATCAGCATCAGCACCGTCGTCATCATCATATCAGTCAGCGTTGACTCCCAATAGATAGGAGGACAGGGGGATGGGAGGAGGACGAAAGGAGGACGGGAGCAGGACGGGAGGAGGACGGGAGGAGCCACATCAAGCAAGCGCAGGCAAGTAAGCGGAAGCAAGCAAGCGCAAGCGGGCAATAACAAACAAGCAAGAGCCAGCGATCAAGTGCAAGCACGCAAGGGCACGCAAGAGCAAGCACGCGATAGCAAGCACGCAAGGGCAAACAAGGGCAAGCGACTCATAGGAACCCATATGAATCCATAGGACTCGCCATTGAAAATAGTTTGGGGGGCATTGGAAATAAAGGGGGTGGCATTGGCAAAGGTGGGGGAGGGGGGGAGGGGGACATTAGAAACAAGGGGTGTGTCACTGGAAAAAGGGAGGGCATAAAGACTAATTACGTATGATGGGCTAGGACTCCAATAGGGCAAGCCTATTTGGAGGGGAGGAAGGGGGTGGAGGAGCGCTCAGAGGTGGTGCATAGGCATAGGCACGGGCATAGGCATAGGCATAGGCATAGGCATAGGAGCGTTCAGAGGTGGTGCATAGGCATAGGCACGGGCATAGGCATAGGCCTAGGCGTAGGCATAGGAGGTAGGGGGAGGCGTAAGCATAGGCATAGACATGGCCATAGGAATTAGAGGGAGGGCATAGGAATTAGGGGGGCAACGGACCAATTAGTAGGATTTGAGTTAGAACTCGTATAGGACAAGTCTAGTTGAGCATCATCATCATCATCATCATCATCATCATCATCATCATCATCATCATCAGCATCATCATCATCATCAGCAGCATCATCATCAGCATCAGCATCATCATCAGCATCAGCATCATCATCATCATCATCATCATCATCATCATCAGCGTCATCATCATGATCATGATCATCATCATGATGATCAACATGACCATCATCAGCAGCATCAGCATCACCGTCATCGCCATCATCATCACC